GTTACCATTTTGGACTAAATCAAACTCATCGTCTGTGCCTCTGGAAGAGGCAGCGAAATTTGCCAGTAGGCAAGAAACCTTCAGGAAGATGTTCAGATGGGCTGGGAGCGGAGGCTGCTTGAGGCCAGGCCGGCCGGCACGGTCTGCACTCTGAGTCAAACATTTCCAACAGGAGCTTGTTAATGTAGCTCGGGAGTTTACGTTTGCTGCTCACCATCTGTCACGAACCTTGTATCAGTGATTTTTATTTATTCACTTTTGTTGTTTCCCTTGTAACGAACACTAAAACATGAATCATTCTAGGTTTAGCGATGGCCGAACACTTCCATCATGGCCAGAGAGAAGATGGTCTGGATAGTGTCCTGTCGATGTCAGACACAGGCCGTCTGTTGGAGTGGACTGCAGTGTGCTTGTTACTGGAAGCTAATGAACAGCTGAGAACAAGCGTTTAACAGATGGTCCAGAGAAATAAGGCGATAAGTCAATCCATTTACCAAAACTTCTGGGACTCCCATTTCAGAATTCATGAACAATTAAAATGACACTCTGGTCGTTAAGAGTTAATCTTAGGATTGTTTTTTAAACTCAAGTATAACTAGTTGTCACAAAAACGCTTCTTCAATTTCCCAAAAAGCGGTGCCAGTCTTTGAATGACTCTGGGCAACCAACAGGAACATCTGGAGAACTCTCCTTCCCGCCCAAGTGCTTCGCAAATGCATGAGAATGGTTCCCGGGGAAAAGTCAGGAAGTAAAAAGGGAAGGGAAAAAATATCATGCCCTCTGAGTGGCCCAATCGTAAAGCAAACAGTTCTTGAGTCTGACATGTTAAAGAGGTGACAAAATTTTATAAAGAGTTGAAGAAGATAGGACTTCCCGAAAAAGGAAGATATATTTAAAAAGGAGGAAAGGATCGTTTAAAAATATAATTTAGATGGCCATACAGTTTCTGAGACGTATTGCTCAGATGAGAGAATGTCTTGCTTGCCTTTTATTTTTGGAACAAATAGAAAGAATTCATAGATCACAAGGATTAGTTAATGATCTGGAAACTAAAAAACCTGGGTTTTAATCTTACATCTTGAAACGAATTCATCGTGTGGTTCTGGGGAAGACTTTAATCGGCCTGGCCTCAGTTTCTCCATATGAAATATCTAGATTACACGACACAGCATGACCCTCCAAGCAGAAAGCCTTTACAAATAATAATGCTCATACACCAAAGCTCTTAGGTTATCCCACCTCCAGCAGTTCGAAGCCCTAAAACACTGCAGAGCGCTAGACAAACAAGTCAGTTCTGTGTTTTCTAGTGATGTTATCAGAGTGTGAATAGAAATAGCCTCACGTCTTTCCTCATTAAACAGCTCCATGGGGCCTAGAACTAGAACCTGACCTCTTTCTACCCCCTGCCCTATGAGGCCCTTTTCCTTTCCCCACATTTCCCTGCAGCTGCGACATGTAAGCCGACGGCCTGTTCCGAGGGGGCCCACAATCCTCCCCCCTCACTTTCATCTTGCTGTGAATTCCAGCGCTGGACACCCAGAACCATGCACTTTCACCGGGCCCAGGACAGGACGGGGAATGTGCTGGAGCTCCGAATCCCCGGTGCACACACCCCAGAGCGGCCTTGCCGCAGAGGAGGCCATGGGACACCGGCACGGAGACACGGCCACCTCTCGGCCCCGACACCTGCCGGCTCCTGCCTGACGCTCCCCAGATGACACTGGGGTCCAGACAGCATGAGAGGGAAAAGGGTAACTGGCAGAAGGGAAAACACGGTCCTGGTCTCAAAGCAGCAATAAAAATAAAGTTAAACCCTCACACATACATACACATAAGATTCTTTATGTCTTCAACTGAAGTTGCCTGAGTACTTCACACTGCAACTACGTGCAAAAGGATTTTCTGAAGAAAAAAAAAACACAAACCACACACACAACAGACCTTACTGCTCCCTTGAAGGAGCTTATTTAAGGCAAAACAAGGCCTCCCATCATTCCTGTGAGAGATCATTGTCCCCCTGGTTGCCACAGCGCCCTGTGAGGCTGTGGGAAACAAATGACCTCAGAGGCACTGTCGTGAGTGTCACTGCGAAAGAAAAGAGAAGCGAGGGGGCTGGGGGCAGGAGGGGGGCTGCTGGTGAGCAGAGCCCTCCGTGGCCAACATCCTCCAGTGACGTCCCTCCCAGCACAGTGGGAAGGAGGCTGCGGCCCCGGGAGCCTCCGGCCACTGAAGGGATTAGGCTCCCGTTCCCCAGAAGCCAAGCGTCTTTCTGGGGATCCTGCTGCTCGCCCTGGTCAGCCTGGCCTCTCGCTGGCCTTCCCCACAAAGTGCCCAGTGATCGCTGGTGTCTCCCTCTGTCTAATGGGGGTCCTGGGTCAAGAGAGGGCTCCTCTGAGGCCTGTGAGGAGAGAGCGGCAGCCGAGGAGGGGAGAGGCAGGGAGAGCAAGGCAGGATGAGTGGGTAGTGGGGGTGGGGGGGGCTGTAGTGGGGGTGGAGGCACAGGACAGACAAGCAAGTGCCATCAGAGAGAAGGAAGATGGAAGCAGAGGAGGAGAGAGTGAGGGTGGGCTTCATGGTGAAGCAAAGCTGAAGTAAACACCGACAGGCGCTGATTCTGCCGCAGGCCCTTGCGGGCGCCAGGGAAGGAAGCCCACTGGATCCTCGTTCTCACTCAGGGTGGGTGCCCGAGAATCAATCAGCAGGCGGCCCAGCCAGCGGGTGCCTTTGCACAGCATGAACCTCTTGCCGACTCTAACACCTCATCGATTTCACCTCTTCCTCGGGGGGTCTCTGTGAGACAGAGCAGTTGGCCCAATTTCCACCCCACCGATGGGCACACAGAAGCACAGCGGCGAAGTGTAGGCTGGGAGTCCGATGTTGGAGCCTCTGCCTTTAAAACACACACACGTGCCCCATCGCCTCCACCAGTCGGTTCCCAGCTCTCCCTGGCAGATCGTGAGGCTGCTAGAAACGCTGGTAGGGCATCACATTGAACGTTCAGAGCCCTCTGCCCCTGCCCCTCCTGCTCAAGCCACAGAGCCCTGTTAACCTCAGGGTGACAAGTGAAAATGGGGAAGGAGGACAAGAAGGGAGAGCACGCTGGGCGAGCAGGCCTGCCCCGGTCAAAGCCTGAAGACGTTCTGCCTCCACACTGGGGAAAAGTTAGAAAACACAGATAAGCAGAAAGCATCAAACTATCATGTATTACCCTGTATAGACACAAAACTGCATCACAGAGTTTAATGTAGGAAATTCCTTTAATGTATGTATTGCCTATGCAAATATGTAGTGTATGGCTGTGTTCACTTTGTTTTACTGACTGTTTAATCCCTTCTGTTCTTTTACCAAATATTTACTCTATGCATAGTACCAATTTTTGAAAAAGAGTTACAAAAATTGTGTTTATTCCTGGAATTTGTTTTGGCCTCTGTAAACAGGGAGACATGGCATTTTGCAGTCTCAAGGGTAAAGGAGAATGATAAAGGTAGCTGAAAACAAAAAACCATTTTGTAGCAAAGATCTTTCCTCATGAAACAGCCTCAACTGTGGTGACATGGATTTTTTTTTTTTTTTTGCCAAGCTGGCAACTGGGAAACAAAGGTTTGGAGAAGGTGGGTTTGGTACAGGAAGGTGCTGCTGGGCGGCCCCCTCCTCCTGGTGGGGCCCGGGACCAGCAACAGCACCAGAGGCAGGGCCTTTCACAAATACACGCATCCCCGTGAAAACACAAATGAGAGGTAAGAACGGGGAGGAACTGATATGTAACATTTCTATTATATTTCTCTCAGGCCCGGTGCTGACTGTTTTTTCTGAGCAGTGATGATTACGAAGGAGCGTAGGCTCCAGACTCAGAAACTTGAACCTGAGCTTCCCAACTTAACCTCTCTGTGGCGCCCACCTCCTTACCTGTACAACAGGGCTGGTGACGGTACCCATGTCATCAGACTCTCATGAGAGTTAAGTGAGTTAACACTGAAAAATCCTTAAAACAGTGTTTGGCACATAGTAATAGGTATTACTTGGTGTAGTAATTATTAATATTAGTTAATGTACCTCCCTAGTCTCACGCCCTTTTAGGAATTTCAGTACCCCTGTCAAAAATAAAAATAATGTCAAGCATGTACATTTTTAAAAGAATTTGCTATGTACCAGGCAGTGGCGGTCATTTATATGTATTACATGCATTTAATTCTTACAATAATTCCACAAGGGAAGTGTGTAGGCATCTTAAGGCCTCTGACAGAGGCATTGTATTAATTCGAACCATATAATATCACTGATTTCAATAGTTTTTTGATGCATAACAACAGTGACTTCATTTAATTTAGCCTAATTTTGGGGAGGTGACTAGATAGACTAGTTTAAGGAAGGAGGACACATCTGCACCCCACCCCACCTCCCCCAGCTACAACCTGAGGGCGTGGCTGATTCTCAGCGAAAAGCAGGAGGCGAGATCTGATCTAGAAGTGAGGGAACCGAGTCAAGGGACCAAGTGTAAAAGCCGTGGCTCTTGAAATTCCTGGACGGATTTCCCCACGCTCAGAACATGATCTCAGGGCCATCCATTCAATCAAGAGGCATTTATTAAGCATCTGTCATAATAAGAGGCCCCAAATGAGAGGGGAAATGAGCAAGAACCCAAATGCTAGCTAACTCCGTTCCGGCCCTTTGTCAGTAACATGCCTCGGCTGGGTGTGCTAACTTTGCAGCCTCAATTCCCTCATCTATGAAACGGAGGTGATACCTCCTACGACATGGGGTTGTTGAGACAGAGACCTGTGAGGAATGCCTAGCACAGTGCTTTGCACAAGGCACAAACCCAATAAAGAGTAAGTATTACTATTATTAGTACTACTGCTACTAACACTAACACTACTGCAGCTAATACTAATAGTGCTGCTGTCACCAGTACCGCAGGCATTGTGCTGGACACCTAAGGCTGGGGCCTGCTTTCAAGGATTTCAGCCAGTGGAGGGAAAGCCCCTATATGCCAGGAGGACTTCGCCCAGGGAAAGGTTGGGGGAAAGCCTTCCAGGAGGGAGTGGCACCTGCAAAGGCAGAGAAGCCCCAAAGGCAGGCCCTGAGCTGGGAAGCGCTCAGCCAGAGTGTGCCTGGGGGAGAAGGTGGAGGGAACGAGGGAAGGCTGGCCAAAGGGTGGAGAAGAACTGGTAAGTGCATTTCCTTCTCTGCCTTCACCAGGGGTTCAAAAACAAGGAAGACTAGACAAATTTTAGGAGATTCTTCTTTTCACTGCCAAAGAATTTATTTCCTTTTTGGATTGAGCTGTTTGTTGTTGGAGATGCAGAAGCCCAGCCCAGGCAGGCCAGGGCTCCCCTGCAGCCCGCAAACACGGTGAAAGGTCAAAAATAAACAAGCCAAAAGTATCCAGGCCAAAGGCAGACCAGAGGATTTTTTTTTTCCTTTCTCCTTCTTCCAGGCTCTGAAAAGTTTGGTCTCTAAAGTCTTGATTTCAAACAAGAAGAACAGACAGTTCCAGCTTCTAAATACTGGCAGAGAAGAACAGCTACTCTTTTTAGAGAGAGAAGAAAACACACCACCCACCACACACAACTTTCGGCCACATTTTTGCCAGCAGCATTCAAAACAATTCCTGTGAATTAGCCAAGGGAGCGCTCAGAAGGTGAGACACCTCGCAGCTACACGCGGCTTCTGAGGGAATGGAGGGGCCCAGCCCCATGTGTGCGTCCAGGCCACAGCTGTTTGTGTTTACCACTCACCACCTCGAAGCAGGAAGAGAGGGTCCGCGTTTTCATTCTCCCCCAGTAATTGCCATTCTCCTGCTCCCAAAATCCCTCAGCCCCCTCCCCAAAGAACCAAGCAGCGCTGCCTCCCCTGAGCCAAAGGAATCCAATCACCCAGAAAGGGAGACTTTATGAGCTTTCTGGGGCTCTGGGCGGATGGAAAGGATTAAAGCGAGGTGTGCTTTATGTCTTTTGTAGTTTACTCCGCTGCCCCATGGAGTAGCCAATTCACCAGCCTTGGACAGGTCTGTTTGTTCCTCTTGGTGGGTTCTGTTTTTCTTTCCTCCCCCACGACTGTTCATGAGTTGGAGGGAGGAGGCAGTAAAAGTTCATTTCAGATGCATCATAAAACTCGGAGAGGCTGGCCTATGGCAACTTCGAGCAGGTGGGGTGTGCTGGGCTGTTGCAGCAGCTCCTTCGTGGGGTGGCATGAATTCGGAGAGGTTTCCAAGAATTCTGCCACGGCTCACTGGGACCTCAGCAGAGGGGCGAGAGCCCCGTCCCACCCTCTCCAGGGCTGGTGTCTCCAATTAGCACTGTGAATTTCTTCTTTTGTTAGGGATACTGAAACGCCGTAGTATAGTTATTCATGAAACAGAATATTCTTAAAACAGCTTTCTAATGAGTTTGAAATTTGTCCTTACTACAGGCTTTCACATTGTGCAGTCTAACTGAGGAATAATTCCCAGCCCAAGTCTCGAATTCCGTGGACCAAGCAGACCACAGCTCCCCTGGAGTTTGCAGGCTGGACTCGCTACATGAGCAAGTCACAACTGGAAAAATACAAAAAGATGCTTGATCTCTGTAGTAAGCAAAGGAAAGCACATATAAAACACCAATGAGATACTGTTTTCACTTAGGGGATTCACTGAGATTGAAAAAAAAATAACTCCCCGTGTGGGCAACATTATGGAGGATAAAGAATTTACAAACACGAAGGATGGGCGCTTGGCAACACACACAAACGTGGAAACATGCCCATGACCCACCCACATCGCTGCGGGAATGCATCCTAAGGAGATGATCAGACAGGCTCGGAAATAGGTGTGTAGAAGGATGCTCGTTGCAATGTTTGTTTGCTTTTTCTGACAGTAAAAACCAGGAAAAAACCTAAATGACCGACAACTAGAAAAATGGGTAAAGAGGTTATGGCACAGTTATTTAATGGCATGGTGCGTGGGGCCACGCTAATTAATGGTGTCGTTCTTCGTTTCTGAACAGAGTTACCCACGATGGACCGCTGAATGAAGAAAACAAGGTCATGAGCAACCAGGACGGGGTCGACTTGCTTTCTGAAAACGGTGCGTGTGGATGTGCACACCCACGCGCTGGGAGACGCCGGAGAGCCGCACACCCAAATGTTACCTCTCTCCGTGGGGTGCCTTAAACCTACCATTTCCTTTGCATTTTCATTTTTTTTTAATTCAGAAAAAACAATAATGATGTTTATTTTTGTCTCAGGGGAAAAATAATCCCAAACCACTGGACTAATCTGCGTCTTCACACTGTGACCAGTAAACCCCACGGATCTGATCCACTTTGGTTCTGGGGAGGTCTTTACCAGGACGACAGACAGCGTCTTTACCACCAGGACAACAGCACCAAGAATCAGTAACAGCTGGAGTGGGCGCGGGGCGACGAAAATCCCCAGAGACGGGGTGGATTTAGCTGGAGAGTCTAGTAAGCTCCCAAGCCCAAGTTCTTCACTTTCTGTTGTTTCCAGAATTGGGTGGGTATGAGAAACTTTCCAGGCAAATTGGGTTTTAGAAAACATTATGGTGAATTTTGAAATGCTCAACTGACTTGGAGCACATTGGAGCTAACCCACCATTCAACAAGATGTGTATAGATGTTTCCTTCAGGCAATATGAGAGTTAAAAAAAAATGTCTCCATAAAGAGGCAATGTAAGAAATGGGATTAAAAAAGTACATTTGCACCGGTGACACCGAAGTGTGAGTGCTGTCTCTGGTGTGCTCCTCCCAGTGACGACACCGCCCTCCTCACTGTGCATCTTTCCTAGGCCCTTAAAGGCACTCAGATACTATTGTAATACTGGGGTCACCTTCTCATTCTACAGAAAGAAAAACTGAGTCACACGGAGGCCAAGAGGCTCACACAATGGCATTTCAGACCCAGAGCTTGAGACGGAGCTCCCAACCCAAAACTCAGTCCCGAGTCCACCGTTTCATTTCCCTTCGCAATCCAAACCACGTGTGTGCCCGGAGGCCGGCCGGCAGTGTCCCAAAGGACTGACCCGACTCGCCTGCCCGGCCAGGCAGCAGAAGAGCTTTGGGCTTTTAAACTTCTGAGTGCCCAGGAGTGACTAACCTACATTTTTTCTAGTTTAAAACACATTCAATGATGCAAAAGTTCTCGTAACAGGCATGCCACCTACATAGCACCACAAATAGTAGTGACTATGGCCCATTTTTCTAATCTTTTTTATTACTTTACGAGTAATTTCTTTGTCAGGAGCGCATTACCGCTGTAGTCAACACTTCAGAATAGCGTTTGGACCCATGGAAGTGGTAATGAGAAGGGATCACACATTTGCTTGTTTGTTTAACATCATGGGTGGTTCTCATGTTGTGTACATGTGACTTAAGTATGCTTCTTAGAGGCCCGTGAGCTGGGGGCACCCCACGTGGTCTCACCAGTTGGGTGGCCTGAGCTGCTCAGAAACCTATGAACAGAAGCATAGCTCTGTGGACATGGGGAAATTCTTCCTGAACTGTTCTCCTAAAGTGGCAACTTTTCAGGAAAAATGTAAGCGTCCTGTTGACAATTCCATGCTCTTCTCCCCTTGCTGTGACAATCGAATCTGACAATGACCCAGACCCCCCCCCCAGCACCCCACTCTCTCTGTTATCATAACTTGTCTCCACGTCTGCTTCCGAGTTTTTGTCCTCTCTGCTGCTGACCCAACAGCTGCCTGGAAACCCACTTTCTTCAACCCTGGTCTTTGACACCACCTTGCCCAGTGCAGGTCTAAGTCCCCCATGGCAGACCTGGCTGTGGTGGGTGGAAGGGACAGGAGAAAATGTGGGCACACCTCGGAGAAGCACTCCGGCCCCACCTCCAGCCCTTCTCACGGGCCCTCCCCTCTGCTACCCATCTCTGCACCGGCACGTGCACAGGCCTAGCCCAGGTCCTGGGACTGAACACCAAGGAGGCTACTCTGCTGGCTCATGGTCTCATGAACGTGCAGATAAAGATGACTTCAATCCTTTCTGAATACTCTGTTACCATCGATGCATCACTTTATCTTCCCCTGTGGGGCCAAAGTGGGCAGCCATAGTTTGTCTTCTAAACCTTTTAAAGGGAAAGGGAGTGCTAATGGCTATTATGCTGAGGTGCCAGGCACAGAAAAACGACTGACCTCTGAGATGGGGGTGTGGGTTCATCCTAGGTCTAAGGGAGCAACGCAACACAAGGACAGGCTAGGGAAGAGCCCAGAGGGGGCTGTTTTGCTCTCAACTTGCTTTCTGACATTGTTTGTAATAAAAACTCTTAGAAACTGCCAAAGAGCTATGTGCTTGCTTCAGGAACTAGAAAGATGAGGAAAAGTTTTACAACAGTACTTATAGGCCAAATATGGCGAAATAAACAGCGGTTCCCTCTGACTCCCCTATTATATTTTTCCCCCCACTCCTGACCCCACCAGATACCTATGAGCTGGTAGTAAAAGTGAGAGACACAGGCTGGCTGATCCTTGGGGTCCTCAGGAAAGATCAAAGGGGAATGAATGGGTTCAAGTGCAGATCTATAAGAGCCTCGGGGGGCTTGTACTGGGAGGTGTCCCAGAAAGCCCTGGAGCACCCTCTCTCATGTCACTAAGCCACTCCCAATGACAACAAGGTGGACAGTCCTGTCTCCCAGTGCCTGGCAAGGGGGACGGGAGGAGAGTGGAGAAGAGGCCCCAGGCCCATGGCCAAGGAAGCAACGAGGGAAATCTGTCCTGTTACCCCAAGGTCCTACTGAACATCACGTCTCACAGAAAGAACCCTGATCGAATTTGGCCCCTGAAGGCATCAGTCTAGGAACTCAAGTACTTCTTCGGGGAAGAGTGTTTTACAATCCAGACGACCATCTTTTATGTGAACTCTTAGAACCCACCCACCTGTAAGTTAGAAGGGTAAGGACAGGTGTTTCCCTGTGGACAAGGGGATGGGTCGGTCACTTCCCAGATTCCTGTTAGCTTTCAGACTGTCCGCATAAGGTATGAGAGCTAGCCTTAGGACAAAACAGTCGATTATCACAACTGGTACTTGGTAATGACAGAGCTATAGCCCCACACACAGTTGTCCAGGGCCTCTTCTTACTCTATGCTCTCCTCGCCCGATCTCATCTGTTAATTCATCCTGTCACTCATTTGTTCAACCAGCACATCCACACTCATGGTTCAGTTGCCAGCTACGAGAAGAGGTCTCTTAAATGTGTATCTCCAACACAGGCCTTTTCAATGAGCTTCAGACTTAAAAAAAAATTTCCCTGGTATGTCTTCTCAGTGTCTCAAAGGTGCTTCAAATTCAATGTCTCCAAGGCCAAGCTCATAATGAGACCTTGAATTCATTCCATCCTCCTCCTTCCCACCACCATTACCCAACAAACAACCAGCAGGTCCCACCTGAACAATCACATCTGCTACCCAGCAAACTTCCCGTCCCCTTCTCTACACTTCTAATTCATTCTCTACACTGTAGCCAGAGTGATCTTTCCAGAAAGCAACCCCCATTACCTCATTCCACTCTTTGCCTGAAACAAGTAGATGGCTTTCTTCTATTCTGAGAATAAAGACAAAACCCCCACACACGGTCGGCTCCCTGACTGCAGTCAGCAGCTGACTCTGCCGCCAGCTGCACCTAACACGACCCAGGTCCCTTCTCTGACAGTGTCTCGCGTGTGCTGTGTACATGCGGCCCTTTCTCGGTGCCGCGGTCTCCTCTAGTCAATGCCTGCTCTCCCTTCGCGCTGCAGGGCCTCTCTCAGCAAAGCCCTGGAATGTTCGCTGGACTCTCCTGTAACGCTTTCTCTTGGCCAGCACGCCCCTCTCCTCTGAGCTAAGGCTCCCAACTGTAATTTGTCACTTACTTCAGGCTTCTTTAATTCATCACTGTCTCCTCCTCTAGACGGCAAACTTTATGTGGACAAGCGGCCTGTCTGTCTGGTTTACTACAGTCATTCGCTCAACACTGAATAGAGGAAAGAGAGAAGGGAGGGAGCGAGGGGAGGTCTCACTCCCACACTCCCCCACACGTGCCGCACTGCTCTGCGTTTGGAATTTTGTTCATGGCGATCCCTTAGTGTAGCAGGGTCTTCTTCCTCCTGGTAGTTAAAACCCCATTTCCCCCTCAAAGCCCAGTTTAAACGTCACTGTCCCGTGTCTGCCCTGCATTCGTGATATTTCTCGAATCTGGTCTTGATTACGGTGATTTAAATACACAGCCGCTTTTCCAGCGGGTCCTGGTCTTCCTTGTCTCTATATTCCACCATCACCCCAGTCACCAGCCTCTGGGCTTAGGACAATGCCTGCGTGAGTTTATTGAAAAAAAAATGTAAGTTCGGCGGAGGCCCTGTTAATAGGGTTGGAGCCGTAAAGGGAGAACCCCTTCTCTAGAGTTGGGGGTTGCACGTCGTCTAGTGACACTGCTGCCAGTGCCGCCCAGTTCAAGCCTTTACTGAAGCTGGACTGGCAATTCCACTAGACAGTAAAAGTAAAAAGAAGCCAAGCAAATATAATTTCTTCATTCCAATATCCCACGGCCTAAAATGGGGAATGCTAATCAAACAAACATTTAAATGCCGAAGTATCACCGTGCGCGTGTTCAGTGGGCGTGATGAACGGAGGTGGAGGGCGTGAGGTACCCCGGGGCTCAATCAGGAAAACGTCTATCTTCACTGAATTCTATTTACTTAACATGAGCCTAAAGAAAACTTGTTCTACTTCATCCATCTGTCTCATGGTTGCCATGATATAATTTTCGAATGAAATTTCTAAATGCAGACCACACACGATATTTCAGTGGACTGAACATTGATTTATGCAAAGACTGGAGGTCGGGAGGTACCCTGCAGAAAGATGCCTAGCCAGCAGTTTTCTGACTGGCAGCCTTTGCTTGCTCTGCTATCACAGCAGGCGGATATAGTTTAGTGTCTCGATTACTTCTGGATTTGGCCTGTTCAAGAGTCATATTATCTCTGCTATACCGAGCAGGCATGAAAGTCAAAACTGTGATTCCTAAGACAACCATGGTGATAGAATATAAATTAAAAGGCCCTTGCTTGCTTAGCCTTCATCTGAAAACATCAGAATGCAATTTGTTGGACAGATTCTATAATCTGCAGATGAAGGCAGTTATAGGGCTCAAGTTTATCCCGCGTTAACAAGCCCTAATAGTCTAGTTCAGCTCAGACATAACAAACGGAAATGGCTTTAAATTATCCTTCCCTAGAGACATGATTTCATAAGAGAACAAACTCTATATGAGCACAGAGAGATTTCCAATGTAAACATGTGGTGGAAGCTAAAAGCTGCAGCCCGGTTTCAAGCCTGGATATGCCAATGGCAGGGTATTTGATTTCAAAGACACCGATTTCCTCCCAGTGCAATGGCGTGCAGGCTGCTTTTTTTTTTGCTGACTACACTTTGAACTGCAGAATACACACAAGCTTGCATATATGTGTAATTTTATAGTTTTCTTTCTAGCTGGATATTAATAGATTTCACTTAGCCTTTTCCATGTATAAGTGTATGAGTGGGACACAGATGCTTGAGGGATAAAGTTCCTCCTGGAAAACTCCAGGCTCACTCATCACCTGAGCCTGAAATGGAGACTAGCTTCCGAGGCCTTGGGAAACGTAAGGTGAACAAGCTGGCTCTTCCGTGTCCAAGACGGACATCGACCCGGTTCCCTGTGAATATGAAAAAGCGAGGAAAGGAGAATTCCCTGGCATGATCCAGAGAACAGAACCTCCTAGCTGCTGCTTTGGGGCTGGCTCGGTTTCTAAAGCCTAAGAGCAAGACTTTGCGATGTGCAGTCACCCACGGTCCCTCTGGGCCATGTGAGGTCTGCCGCCTGCTTTTGAATGGCTTGTGGACTAGGATAGCTTTCACATTCTGAAACAGTCAGGAAACAGACAAAAGAAAAAGAATATTCTGTGACACAGAAATTATGTGAGATTCAGAGTCAGGGTTCCTAAGCAAAGGTCTATTGGCACACGGCTGCGCTCACCTGCTCGTGCACATCGGTGCTTTCACGCTGCAATGGCAGAGTGGAGGGGTCGCGGCAAAGACCAAATGGCCTGCCATGCGAAGACTAAAATACTTTTCATCTGGCCCTTTACGGAAAGGTTTGTTGATCTCAGATCTAAACTGTGAAACCAGGGCAATATTAATCTTTGACTGCCATTTTTAAAAAACAAACCTATGTATTATGCTTGGACACTCAGGAGTGAGTTAAATATCCTTGCGTGCATATGAGACTCCACCTATTTAAAGTCGCCCCTGAACCACTAAGTCACGTGTGAAACATTTAGACCTGAGACCACAAAGTCAAACGAATTTAAGAGCCAGGAAGAAACCACTAGTAAGAAATCTTAATTTTTATTAAAAATTTCCTGAATTTCAAAATATTGTTTGACTCTGGCCCACTGGGTACCAGCTTGCAATCTGATGCAGACTGTGAACAAACGCTGGCCTTTCCTCTTTTTGACCATTATCAGCTGTAAGAATATTGTCTGTGCTTTGCTGAGTATATTTCTAAATAATTTAAAAGTAGTCTACATTGATCATCAGAACCTATCACAGAAGGTACGTTCACTGTTGTGACATGAGTAAGTTTGGACAGTAAACTCCTTGAGGATTGTTCTTCTCTTTTAAATTTTGTCTGTGCCCCGCTGCACAAGCTGTGCCGCGGTTACTTGGTAAACACTCACTGACTTTACCACTATTCTTCCCTTCTTGACTTGATTTTCAGAGCCTGTGTGGAAGATCGAGCAAAGCCATTTATTTCATCACTGTCCTAAAGAGATATATGTTTAAACCTGTCCAGCAACATGAGGCTCTCTAAGGCTTTAAAACCTTCTATCAGTCCAGGCCAATGCCCTCTGCTTTCTGTGTGTGGGCGTTGATAAGATAAAGACCAAAAGTGACCCACAGCCCTGGGAACCCCGCAGGAAACAGAGGCTGCTAACATCAGTCGCTGACACTACTGTAGGCAGGGCCTGCTGCAGTTCACGGCCTGCTCCTCAAAGCCACATCTTTGCAAAAGACTAAAGCTCCCCTCCAACCATTCTGTAGGAGCCGCTAATTTTATATCCTCCAAGTTGTAGGAAGCAAAGGAATACTGCTAATGAAAATTCTTAAACTGCTATTCACTCACGCATATAAACATGCATTTAGTCACAAACCCTTCTGGAACCTGCTGCAGTGTCGGGTACAGCACTACCTGCCGGATGACAAAGCTAGCTTGACTTG